CGGATTGGTGGCTGGTGGAGGTGGGCAATGTCAGGGGAAATGAGGAAGGAAAAAGACTGCTTGGGGAAATGCACGCATGATGCAGATGATGTTTTGTTCAGTTGTACATTTGAAACCTGTATGGTTTTGTGAACCAAAGTCACCCCAATATATTCCATTAAAAATATAAGTGAACAGAAAGCAACAGAAAAATTAATGTAATTAAGCAAAAAATCCAACATCGTTCTTTTGTATCCCAATATGCTTATTCAGTGTTATCATTTCATGACCACAGGTTACTTAAGGTGCCTCACACTGCTTGTTAAATTAAATTAAATACACCTTTACAACTTTATTTGTTTGTCTTAAGGTGGCAATATCTAGATTTATTAAAGGCTCATTAAGAGAAAAGAAAAAGGACATGAAGATCAAGTTTTTTTTCTGCAGGTATAATCCTACCACAGCCATGTTGGATTAAGGCTATGTTTATTTAAACCTCAGTCAAATTGGTCATCTTCATACATTCTTCATTTAAAAAAAAAAAAAGGATTTCTCTTGAAGTTTTCATGGGTCATTCACCAAGCACTAACATCACTAGGAGCCTACTGATCCCCTGGGGACAGCAGCTTAATTACACAGAAGTTTAACATTGAGAATAGTGATATAAATGCAAACATGGAATTTGTCCTGTCTTTGAGTGGTTTATAATTAGATTTAATACCTCAGCTTGTATAGATTTTAATTACTAAGTAGATCCGGTAAATTATGAATTATTGTATTTTCACAGGTGATAAGATGTATACGTTAATAAGCATTGCAGTCTGAAGGTGCAACATACATAAAGCAAGATAATAATATCAAGCAATTAAATGGAATCTATCCTTAAAAGGAAAAAGGTTTAATGCTACCCTTAAGTGTAACTTAAACTTTTGCTAAATATTTTTAAATTCAATAAAAACATGTTAATTTTAGGAACAGCTTCCTTATAAGACCTAATTTCATAGAGTAAGTTTTCCTTTCTAAGAATAGAAAAGCTTGCTGAAATAATTTCTATTGGTAATTCATTCCATAAAGAACTGAATTTTTCCTTGGCTTTTAAGCTCAATGAAGAAAGCCCAAAATAGCACAAGGAATTTTGTGTGTGGCAAATATATGTATGAACTAAATCCAGTTGGGACAAAAATGATTAAATTACTAATAAGGTCATTGTTGGTCCCAAAACATTCCATTAGTCATATAATACTTTTTAAATATTTTGAGAATTTATCCTTAATTTTTCTAAAATTTCATATAAAATAGAAAGAACTGTATTTTGCATTAATTTAATATACTTATCTGTACAACTTTCAAACAAACAGTCTTGTATAAAAGAAAATGCTAGGTATTAAATAATAAATATTTTCTCTTATGTGTTTCTGGATCTTTTTGCACTCACTGAATTATTGTTATGCCACCACTAACAAGATCAATGTGTGTTTCCAATTGAACTACACCGCTGCTTCTCGGCAGCGTGACAGCTGGCTTTACAGTGAATTTAACAAGACCTTAGTAAATACATAGAGCACTTAGCAAAACGTACAGAGTTCTTTACAAAGAGCACTAGAGGCTCGGTGCACAAAATTTGTGCACTGGGTGGGGGGGGGTGTCCCTCAGCCCAGCCTGCACCCTCTCACAATCCAAGACCACTGGCTCCTAACCGCTCGCCTGCCTGCCTGCTTGATCACCCCTAACTACTCTGCCTGCCTGCCTCATCGCCCCTAACCACTCGGCCTGCCTGCCTGCCTGCCTGCCTGATTGCTCCTAACTGCTCGCCTGCCTGCCTCATCATCCCTAACTGCCTCTGCCTTGGCCCCCACCACTGTGGCTTTGTCTGGAAGGTGGTCTGGAAGGATGTCCAGAAGGTCATTTGGCTATCTGTTCTAATTAGCATATTATGCTTTTATTATAATAGATTTTGGATCTCTTCCCCCCCCCCCCCCTCTCTCTGTCACACACACACACACACACACACACACACACACACACACACACACACAGAATTTGGTCCTTACCCTGGAATTATTTAGCAGTGTACTTGGCAAAGTGAAACTTCAAAAATAAAGCAATGTGAAACATTTATAAAGCAGCACAGCATAGAGTACACATTAAACATAAAAGTACGGAGGACTTACATTCTGTGTAGTTTGGAAGATGTGTTTTATTTAATGTAGATTATAGGTGTTTTCAGTTCCCCTCCTGACAAAGCTGCAGTAGAGATTGCTGCTTGTATGATCTGGCAGAGGGGGTGGGGGTCGTTTTTGAGGCTAACCTGACACAACCCCAACCAGCAGAAAGGTTGCAAGAGAAGTTGGAGCAATATCCGGACATTTTGTTATAGAAACAATAGGAATATCAATTATTTATTTAAAATAGGCTACTTTTTCCCCCTTACACTGTATATGATGAAACTAGCGGTGTGGTTGTCCACAAGAAAATGGGAAGAGTTTGAGCTTTGAGAAAGGGGAGAAAAGATAGCATTGCATTCTCACCTGTGGTGTGTTCTAATTTCCTCCATTTTTTGTTTGTTTGTTTGCTAAATGATAGTATGACGTCTATGATAGTATGACGTCAACTTTTTCAAAAGTGATTTTGGTTTCAATAAGAGAAAGTAGGGAAAATAAAGAAACATGTCCCCCTACACATAAGAAAGCTAAGCAAAAGCATTGCCTTTCAAGGAACAGCAGTGGTAGATTCTAAATGGGTTTATTCAAATAAGGAAAGCATTGAAATACCCTTCAAGAGTGAAAGGGGCAAGTTCGGGGCACAGTACTATTTTACTGGTCTGATGTTTGAATTTTATACTAACATCTAGATTTGAACCAGAAGGAATCATTTAAATATCAGAATTTTATATTTTGAAACAGCCAAAATTGCCTGTTCATTGAACCAAGATAATTCTTTATTTACTTATATTTTTCAGCTTTACTGTATCATAAATGTTAAATAAAACTGTAAGATATTGAAAGTGTACATTGAGAGGATTCCTCCCATCTAATTAATAAAGACATCCATGACCTCATTTATTTATTTGGTTGTGTGTTTTTTGTTTTGATTCTTTTTTGTGAGAACATTTGCTACGCTCTTAGCAAATTTCAGTTATACAATAGAGCATCATCAGTATACTCCCCATGTTTACATCAGATCCTCACCAGTGTTTTATATTGATTATTTTTTCTTCCAGTTGTCTCAGTTGAATAACTTTGAATAGCCACATTCGAAGTGTTTAGTCATTTAATAATGCAGATATGGTTATCAGTTTGAAGATCCTTTAACCATTTGTACGCCATAAGCATCTATAGACGCAAGCGGCGGACTTTTTAAATTAAATTCAAAATATCGTGGCAGTTAACTGGTTAAACAGGTGCCCCAAATAATTCAGTCCAGATGCTTTTTGCTTTGTCCATTCTCCTAGTTCCCCTGATGCTTTTTGCAAGACCAGTTAATTTGTTGTAATTAAGAAGAGCACCTATTTAGCTTAGAGATATTTGTATACTTCTTAAAACAGTAAACATTAGCATTTGTAATTTAAAAGAATTAGAAATGTGTAGAGAAATAACGTTTTTTCTCTAAACTGCATAAATACAAACACATTAGATAAAAAAGTATATTTTATTTCTCAAATTAGCAGTGGAATAAGAATTGAAAGGTAGATAAAAATTTTAAACAGCCTATAACATTTTTAAAAAGATAAATTTATTAGACATTAAATTTTTGCCCCTGAAAAATTGAGTAACATAATTTAAGATGTAGTTGAAAATATAATTAAATTATTCTGTTGATTAATTTAACAGTATAAATAAAATAAATGTTTGATCATATGGTTCCTCATAAATTTATACATATGTGTGATTGTACACTATATTGTCACAGCTATGATTCCTTCTTAAATGTAATTATTCCTGAAGAAAGTATTTGAATTTTATTGGCCTCACTTTAACCCCACAGATGGTTATATTTGGTTTCAAGTTTTGCAAAATGGTAACATATTTTAGTTGATTTTTAAACAATTTTCTCTATTCTGTGCTATTTGGTGGTACCAGAAATTTGGGATTTCTCATTCTTTATACCAGAATCACATAGAATTATAGATGAGCTTCCTAAAGAAAGGCTGTGTAAGAAAATTGTAGCCATGTTATGTAAAATTAGAAGTAAATTGATACAAACATATCAAAGTAAATTATTTTTATTATAAGAATTAGATATAAAGAGCTTAGGTAGCATTTATTGACAGTCTGAAGCGTAACTGTTTATGATATATAATTATATACAGACCTTGCTCAGTATTCTTATTGGCTGCTTATGCATAGATATCCATTTTCCTGGCCATAGAGGTAACTGTGATTTGAAAACCATGCCTGGAAAGATAGCCTCACTGATAAGTCATATCTCTTCTAAAGTTAAAAATTAAGTATCACTTTGTTTCGTTTGAAATAACTGTCTGTGCTTGACAAAAAACATAGATATCTGCTCTTTCCCCCCACATTTTATTTTAAAATGAATATTTTTAAAATGAGTGAAATGTGACAGTGAAATTTTCTGCTTGGTTATAGCAATTTATCATCTACCCATTTGCAAAAGTCTAACAAAAAAATTAGTAGTGAGCGTGAAATTTTGGAAAAATGTAATTTTTAACTCATAACCTTACAAATGAGGTATCTATCAGACCACTATACTTTTAATTTTTTCTTTGCCTTTTTTATGTGATTTGTATGAAATGGGAAAGATTTCTACCCTTTTCAAATGTTATACTTTTGTTTTATACATATAGGAATAAAGTTTAATGACTGTGGCCTAGTTATAAAATTTCAAAATTCACTTGAAAACTAAAAACTTGGATTTTACTTCATTATATTCTTGATATATATTTGCTTAAAGTGATTAGTTAAAGATTATGATTTCTTCACAGTTGTAGGAGAAAATGGTTCCTCTTTATATTACTGTCAAACGTACTGCTTTCTGAATTTTGGTTTTGTTTTCTCTAGGCGGTGGGTGCGGCTGCTGTTTGGGCGAGAGTTCCCCCTGCAGGACCTTCTGGTGGTCTGGGATGCCTTGTTTGCTGATGGCCTCGGCCTGGGCTTAGTGGATTACATCTTCATAGCCATGTTACTCTACATCCGAGATGCTTGTAAGTATTAATGACCTTGCCCACATTCAAGTAGGTGATCCTGAATTTAAATATGTTTTCCCTTTTAAATATACTTTACCTTTTATTCTGAATTACCATACCTGGATTTTATCGTAGGCAATATATTGAAGTTTCAAAGGAACATACTAAAATTTTTTGTGTGAGTTAACTATGTACATATTGAGAGATGTGGGTGATTTTTCCTGAGAGAATTGGAATATTCTTTCAGAACCCTTTTTCTGAAGACTTTACTCCTGCTTTAATCTCCTCACTAGTACACACATTTGTGAAATGCACATATAAAAAGCCAGTATTTTAGCTATGTTTAGAGCTCCACCTTCTGACAGGTAGGTAGTATTCAAGGATATTTATCAAGAAAGTAGAGGTTTTTTTATAGTATCAACAACTTGCCAATAAAAAATAAACATTACATTTAAAAATATTTTAACTTCTCAGTTATATTTTAGCCAAATGTGTTTCTCAATAGAGTGCCAAGTGGTAGCTATATTTCATCTCATCAGATCTACTCAAAGGTGCCTGCCCTAGTTGGAAAAACAGTGCATTCCTTTTGAATAGTCAGATGATCTTCACTTGAAGAAACTATCAGAGCTTGTTTTAAATTTCTAAATACCTCAAATTATTTTCCTTCTCAGAAAAATAATCATAGTTCACTAAATAAGATTTGTAAGCCAAAATATAATTAGGAAAGATCGCACAAAGTGATGATTAAGTAGGAAATAAAAAACTGTCATAAGAGTAGGACTCTGTCAGAAGAATATAAACTGTTTCGAGCCATTCATAATCTTGACTGTTAAATTGCTATGTGGTTCTCTTTTATTTATTCATTGAATACCATTTGTGCCAGATGCTCTTGTTACGCCTCTGGTAACACTAATAATATTCTTTAAAATTTTATATTATACTTTTTTAATTCCCCAAAAATTACTTGAGTGAATAAATGACACAAGAACCACATTTTTATCCAGAAATTGTGGGGGTTTTGTGTGTGTGTGTGTGTGTGTGTGTGTGCCTTGAAGGTCAAACACTTCGGGTTTTGACAGACAAAGTGAAAAGCTCCTTTTTTTTCTGAGTCAGAGCTAATCACATAAGAACATGGAAATCATAAAGGAAACATCTGGGAAGTAGAGAAAGATGTTTGGTAGATTTGATAGATACTAGGTTTTTGGATATTCAATACTGTCTCCCATTTTAAAGTTGTTTGCCTTTTTTTAATGTAAGTACTTAAAAAAACAAAGGAATGAGAAACTTCTTTTATTTAAACATAGGTTTATAGTTGTTCATATGGAAAACAATATAATAATAAATAAATATTAATACAAGAATAAACTCTCTATTTCACGAACTCTAAACCTACTTTGCCCCACCCTGTATTTTCACAAATTTTTTATAGTAAAGAACTATTAAAATGTTTACTGGTTTTCTGTGATCTTAATTATTTGCTCTTTTCTTAAATTTGACATATCACAACTATATTTTTAATTTAATTATCCTGTCTCCTATGCTAAGATCTACATTTTAAAATTAATTTCATGAAACAGGCAAATTTTTGGCAGCTGAAGCTCTTCTACATTTTTTAATCCCTCCACTGATGATGTTATAAAACATATGGACACATGTGGAAAAATACAGGGGTAATGAAGTTGTTTATTCATTTCAGTGTTTAGTTCAACTTCTTTTTATTTGCTTGGTTAAATCCATAGCAGTGCATGATATCTTCTAAAATAGAGTGACTATTATGTATTTAAGGAGCTCTGCCTCTGTCCTCAAAAAGCTTCCCAGTTCATAGGAAAGACTGATATAATCAATTTCAGACTAACATACCCAGTGCTGTGGTTGAGGTCAGGAGTCCTATGGAACACTGGCTATAGAACAGGAATAAAAAACAGGTGCTAATCCTGGAAGGAAGCACTAGGCAGGTTTTAGAAATAGCCCACTTTACAGATGGAGGAGATGGGAAGTGGAGGAAGTCCATCCTATATAATAAAAGCCTAATATGCTAAGTGTCCAGTCGATTGGTCGGCCATTCAATCAATCAAAGCATATTATGCTAATGATATGCTAAGGCCACTCAACCGCTCACTATGACCTGCACTGACCACCAGGGGGCAGATGCTCCAACCAGTAGGTTAGCTTGCTGCTGGGGTCCGCCCTATTGGGGCTGAGCGAGATGGGCCAGGCATACCCTGGAGCCCTCCCATGGTGCCTCCCCGCTGACCAACCTCCTGTGTCCCTCCCCAGCCCTGATTGGGCACTGGTGGGGTCCTTCGTCCTGGTCTGTGCCCTCTCACAATCCAGGACCCCTCGGGGGGTGTCAGAGAGCCTGTTTCAGCCCAATCCTGCAGGGCAGGCCGAGGGACCCCACTGTTGCACAAATTCGTGCACCAGGCCTCTAGTGTCTGATAAAAGAAGAAGCAGGTTGTCCACAATGAATGAGGCAGAGTAGTGTAGGGTTTGAGAGGAATGACTGGGAAGTGTGGGAGAGATGGCTAATCAAGAACGAGAACAAGCCTGGTCTAGCTGTCAAAGACCCTACAGAGAAAAACAGTGGGCGGTAGCACCAGGACTCAGGTTATGTTTCTTCTCAGCTATGCTCAGCACTCCAGGCAAGATTCAAAAGAGGGATATCATAATTCAGGCTCCAGTTAAGGCCACATCCAAATGAATTAGGTAGATCTGAAGGGAGGAAGGAGAATGGAGGGTGCTGATTGCATTTTAAGAGAGTGATTTAGGCTGTTTAGGGAGGGAAACATGGCCAGGAAAAGACTATGGGGAAATCAAGAGTATCAAGGGATTAGAGGTCGGGTATGAGAGCTAAAATCAGAGGTCATGGTCAAACAAGAGGATATGGAGCAGTTCTGCGTATGAGCAGAATGGTTGAAGGTACTAAAGGAGAAAGTATCACTGAGGAGATCAAGAGATTGTGAGGGGACTGGGATTCTTGTTTGGTCCTCGATGGACAATTCATTCACCTGACAGGAAAAGATGTAGAAAGAAGCATAGTGAGTGAAGCAGCGAAAGTCTCACATAAATGCAGAAGAGTGACCAAGAAAACAGCTTTTATTCAATCAATTATTTACTCAAAGAATTAACCATTCATTCAGCCAGTGTTTATGGAGTGCCTACTACCTGTCAGCCATCATAGCGCATAGCTAACAATTATGTAGAGGCTTGATGGAGGTAGACATGTGTGGCATGGACTTCAGAGGAAAGGTGTTTTTATGGAAAGATAGGAAGCAATGGTTTAGAAATAGAGTAAGGGAGCAAGGTGGTGGCCCTACCCCTACCACTGGAGGTTGCCAGGGCAGCAATGACTCAAGGAAGGAAGGTTAGTCTGGGAGGGAAAGGCATTGTTCTTTAGAGAAAAAGATTGAGAGGGTGGGGAGTAGCAGGAAGCAGACACAGAACAGGATTGAGTAGAACACATGGGAGGAGTGTGCTAATTAAATGAGCTTACATTTTCAGCCAGGACCAAGAACAAGAGGAAGGTGGACAACTTGCCAGCCTCAACACTTCACCTGGAACATTGGTGTCAAGTTTTTATTCCATCTTGCTTGATTCTGACTCATGAAGCCCTGCTGGGGCATCCAGGGTGGTGGTGACCTTGGGCTCTGCAGATGTTTTTTTGCAGCTGTAGGTGATATGTTTGTAGCTCAAAGAATGATGCACTTTGTAAAACTAAAAGAGTCTTCCTTCAATGTTGGCATTCCTTACTTCGGATCCATACCTCCTAGGAGTTCAATAGAGGGCTTCAAAGTGCCTGTGATCTTCCTGATACTGTGCAATATATTGTGTAGGTGTGCATTTCCCTGGGCCAAGGATATACAATTCATCATCTTCTCAAAGGAATATGTAACCTAAAAAAATGGTTAAGATTTACTATATCTGTTCCCAAATCTTTATTTTATAAGGAGAGATAATTAGGCCTTTTATGGGTTTAATTATATCTCCCAAGGTATATGTTGAAGTTCTAATCTAACCCCTAGTGCCTCAGGATATAACATTATTTGGAAATAGGTGGTTGCAGATGTAATTAGTTAAAATATATCACTGGAGTAGGATGGACTTCTACTTCCCTATGACTAGTGTCCTTATAAGAAGAAAAGAATGTGGACATATATGCACAGAGAAAGGATGATGTGAAGACACATAGGGAGAACAATGCCATATGAAAACAGAGGCAGAGATTGGAGTGATGCATCTGCAAGCCAAGAAATGACAAGGATTCCAGCTGTCACTGAAAGCTATTAGTCCTGTAAAGGTTTATTAATAGCCATACTCTCATCATACTTTTTTTATTGGTTTATTTCATGCTATAAATTACACATGTGATTCCCTGCTTCCCCTGGCCCTACCTACTTAAGTATTGCTCCTATTTTCAGGTCTAAGGCAAGGTAGCTTTTTCCCAAACCATCCCCAATTAATCTAGCTTTCATCGATCTCTCACTTTTGCAGTCCTATAAGATTTTAATCAGTACCATTCAAGGTAACATTTCATTAACTCCATCTTTTTCTTGTTCCTTATTGTGCATATTAGTCCCATCTTCTCAACTAGATTGCAAGTCCTTTGGATCAGAGCCCCCTCTTATAATTCTTCCCTGTTTTTTAGAGCGTCTGAAGTTCTTCATGTATTTGGGGCAATCTCAGACAGACGAGTACTCTAGACACCTGGGGGTGGGGGTCATGGATTCGGGTATAGTGATTATTGAGGGAACAGATGCCCAAACACTCTTAGAATACCCACTCAACTAAGTAGTGATTGTTTAATACACTTTAGCATGGCTTTGTTAAAGAAAGCATTGTCTGCTTTTTAAAGTAAGCATAAATTTTTTCACATCTTTTTATTGATTTAAATTTTTGTTTTTGATTAGTATCAAAGAAAAACATTTTCTCTAATTTACAATGTAACATACCTTTTATTTGTCTTGTATTAATTGTATTAGCAGCCTAAACACTGTATTCAAATTCATTTCATTGTAGAA